GTGAGTCTCCGGTGACAGCGTAGGCTGCAGTGGGGCTGGCTGACAGCTGGCGTGAGTTTTCATGAGCTACCGTGAGTGGCCGCCCAGAAGCCAGCGACTGCCTCACACGGGAAGAGCACAATGATGGTACCAACTTGGGCCAGTGAAGCGACATCCTCCACAACTAGACTAAAGAACAAAAGGACAGCAACTTGTCTGTTCCCCTTCCCTGATTCCCCATCGCTGTTCCCTCTCCTAATTCCCAATAAAATCTTAAAAAAATATATATACATATATATATATTTTCATATACATGTGTCTTGACTTTTTAATTAAATCATAAGCTTACAGGCTCCCTAGAGGACCCTGTATTATACCTCTTGATATGCCATCACTGTCTGACTCCCTGCATGTAGGAATATGATGAGCAAATAGCCAACAGTGGGTGTATTTTGCTTCCAGGGATCAGTGATGTGAGCTGCTGACGAGATGCTAGTAGATACCTTTCTCAGTTATCATTCTCCATCTTTGCAATGTTTTTCTGTGGCAGTGGCATGGTGCCACATACATAAGGAGAACAGAAGAGAGCTAAAGCAGTGAGATCTTATTATTGCCAATACTGTTAGCAGGTACTATGCTATGTATGTTCATACATCATCTCATTTAATCCTCACCACAACTCTCAGAAATAAAAACAAAAAATCATTATGGTCATTTTTCAGATGGAGAAACTGAAGCATTGAGGTGTTAATATCTTACCTGAGGTCACCTAGCCAATACAAGATTCTGAGGTCAGGCCCAGGTCCTAGCCATTCTGCTATAGCACCAAGTCAGGCCCTTAACAATAGCAGAACCCTGGACATACACAGACCCAAGCCTCCTCCTGAGAAGAGTTGTAATTAGTAATAGAGACTAGCTATTACTAAATGCTTCTTTGCCAAAATGTATATTGGCTTCCACTGCAACATCGTCTTAATTATTTTGATTTATTTGGCAAAATTCCACTCTGTTTGCACTATTCAAAGTGTATTTTAGATTACCATCTTGAATCACTCATGTGCTTTATAATCCTTATTGTGAGAAATGCAATAAAAATAAATCTACAACTTTGGTTTAAAAAAAAAAGAATAGAGAGGTAGAAAGAAAATGAAAGTAAGAATTTTGTGGATAAAAACCACACTTAAAATATTCCTGACCTTAAGGCTATATTATAGATTAGATGCCATTAAGGTCTTCATAAATATTTAAAGTGACAGCACTCCACTAAAATTTCATTCCACTCTAACTTCAGAATATTTACTTTTGATATAGAACATCTTATCTACACTTATAAAATTATACAGTAAAATAAAAAGCCAGTTATCCATAAACGTTCATCTGTCATTGTTTTAAGCCTAACATTTTCATTATATATTTATTTGGCTCTTGTGTTTTTCAAATTACCTTTTTTATGCCAATGAGAGTTAAAAGCCATGATGGTTAAAGTTTTGCCAAGTAAGCACAAAGCTAACCTTAGCTAAAGAAAAAAAAAAGTACAGCCCATGAATTTTTAAAAGTTCATACATAATATATCATAAAAGTAGGATGACTAATACGGGACATGGGCTTTAATAAAAAGCTCCTTGACCATTTCTCAGACTTTGAGATGTAATCAATACCCAAAAAGGTATCCTGGGGACAAAGCCAAGATTTATGATATTTTTGCCAAGAGTGACACTTTCTGCTCACTCTATCAGCTGGGGGACATGATATTGAATTTCAGAGAACACAAGAAAGGAAAGCATTTTTATCTGCCTGACAATACTTCAAGGATGCATGCTGTGGTTCACTTGTGACATCATATTTGATGGAAGGGAAATCACAACTTAAACAGTTGTTCTGATGGCAAGAGGGAACTCACGTGCATCTCAACATCAGTTTGTGAGTGCGTCAGACTTCGGCTTCTTTCCACCTCCGAAAGCAAATCTCCAGATGAAAGATCTAAGATGCGTGAGTGAAGTTTCTAGGTAAAAAACAGCAGAAACAAACACTGAGTAGCAATGATTTAGTTTCTTGTTTCGAAATCCTGCCTTGCCCAGATAAATCTCAAAATAGTTCACATTTCTAGATTGGATAATACATAACCTAACTCAAGAAAGTTTATTCTAGTTTATTAGTGAGATATATATATATATATATATATATATATATATNCTGCAGCACACTTTCCCTGTAGCTTTATCCCCACAGTAGTTTTTTAAATCCACTGTTACTTTACCCCATGGTAAGAACTGCTTCATGGTATTCTAAACAAGCAGTTGAAAATTGTTACTTATGTGGCTTCCTAATAGCAATTTGAAATATAGGGCATAAAATTACCAGCTTACTATATTGTTCAATATTAACAGTGGGAAGGGTAATATGTAAAACAGACATTAAAGGATTAGCTATAAAATACATTTCACTAAGCTAAATCATTTCTTGGCAAATGGCAGTTTCCAGCTATTACATAGGATTTATCAAGTCAAGTGGATTTATTTTTATTTTTCTATTAGTTTGCTTAATATATTCTATATTTAAATTTCAATTTTGTGTTTTTTTTTCAGACATATTAGAAGCTGTTAAAAACAGACTCTGAGATACAAATGACTCCAGACTTTCAAGTCAAAATTGCTCCGTGGTTTCCCCAGCAAATCCTCCAGTGAGTTGCCTAAAGACTCAATTGTAACATCCAAGAGAAAAGTACATGGATATGATATTACAAACATTTGTATGACAGATTAGGGAGTTACAAGTGCATCAGAAAATTCAGCAAAAAGGCATATCCTCCACAAGACATAAAACAACATTTCCGCTGTTTTTGCTTCAGACGCTATAGGCACACACACTTTGTTCTAATCGAGCATGTTCAGTACACACTATGAATTGTGAACCAGGCACCGAGAAAGAAGGTGGAAAAAGAAATTCCTAATCTCCTAGGGTGGACATTGTGAACTGTTAAATGGATATTTGATGCATAAATACAACTAACATAATCTATTTTCTTTTGAGACAGCCGCCAGTTACCATAATCCTAAAATTATTCTGTCTTCTCAAATCCCTAGAGATTTATTAATTTTCATAAACAGCTTTCATGGAAACTTTCTTAAAAGATGCAAAGTAATCTTTCTTTGAGCTTTCCTTTCATTTTATATCATGTGCAGCATTTTCAACCTCACAGAATACTAAAAATGGCTTATTATTTTTCAGAGGACTTGGTTATGGATCTATAAATAAATTACAAAGAAATGAGCATTATAGAGAAAAGAAAACTGCTCCTAGACTCATTTGAGAAACTACAGGGAAATTCTAATTCTTGGGAAGTAACTATTATTATAAAACTAACAGTTTGCTTTGAAAACTTGTTGGTAATCAGCTGGTTTTAAAAACAGGAGTTTTTTTCTCAGACTGAGCTGAAGGCTACAACAAATATTTCTCCTTAAATGCCCCATGTTAATAATTACAGGGGCTTCAAAATATTTATTAAATATAAACTTTTTTGGTCTGTTTTATGTGGGGTGGCAAATTTCTTCATAAATAGTTTCTATTGATTGAAAACTAATGAAATAAGATGGCCTCGAATTCAGTACATAAAAATAGTCACTGTGTAAAATGTGAATCGCTTATTCAGAAAGCCAACAGTTGAGTCAGAGAAGATGTTTTCTAGTCCAGTCTGTCATCCATCTATACCAGAGTCAAGTGCAGGTCCGCAAGCCGTGGCCATGTTCATTACTTTGCTGAAACATCTCAATTGACTGGAACCCAATGGACCCCAACCCTTGATTAGCTGACATGGTATTTAATACAAAGAAGTCGGTAACTACAAAACTAACTTTTAAACATTCAGGATAAATCCTTGCTTCAGCTTCATAATTATCTCCCCTCGCCATTTGCTACATCCATAACCAGAGAGGCAGAAGGGTACGTGGCCGTAGGGGTTATGCAGCTTGGGTTCAGATCCCGGCTTTGCGTGACTGGGGGGCAACTTACTTCATCTTTTGCATCTTAGTTTTCTTAATCAATAATCATAACAAAATTAGCCTGAAGGGCTTACTGAAGATTTGATGCCTGAGAGAATGAACTCCTGAATTTATAAGGTTGCAGTAGAGTTTCAATTTGTGAAGGTGTTTGGGACATATTAAATTCTCAGTAAATGTTAGCTGTTTTCAGTACCAGTGATATAAATTGTGGGGCTGTTTGTAAAAAATTGATATTGAGAAGTTCATGGTGACAGAAGCATTAAATCACGCACAGGGCCTTTCTAAGCCCCTATGTGACTGCATATGTTCACACCCATGAAGTCAGCTCTGGCTATTCCCTTATCTGATAATCATTAGATTCTGAAAGACACCCCATAATTGAACAAGGATCTAGTTAAGTCACCTTTACTAAGCTTACTGGGGTAAGAGTGGAGCTTTGAAGTTTAACCTAATTTTTCAATAAGAGCAGCATGCTTTTTTTTTTTTTTTCTTTCTGTCTGTCCTCAAGCAGTGAGAGGGTAAAATGCTTGTATACACCTGCCACAGCAAACCAAAAATAGCCCTGGAACAGCTTTCTGATATGAGAATCACCTCCACTGAAGAAACACCCGTTTGGTAGCACATTAAGTGAAGATGACGATTTGCACATAAGACTCCAAACTCTACAAAGTGTCAACAGCAGGGTACCCAGCTGAGGTATAAAAAGTACAAATACCAAGTAAAAAGGGAGGTAAATGCCAGGAGTGCCAAAAAAAGTTACACAAGTGGACACTTCGGTCAAAGTTGATCAAGCAGTAGCTCACCGTAATCAGAAGTGTCTGGACACTGATAGTAACGACTTGGAGCACCTCTTGTAATTGCACAAGTCAAACATGACTTGTATTAATCTTTTGATATTGATATATACTGAGTATTACAATTTTAATAGATTTTTCCTTTCTTAAATGTGTATACATTTTTTTGGCATCCTCTGTATTTCCCAGAAATTCAGTTTTATCAATTCTGAGTCACAGTTGCTTTATAAGTAGAGTGTTAGGAGCACTTGTTCTAAGTTCCTGCCTATTCCCAGGTATTTCTTTTCCTGTCCCCACTGAAGGGCTACCCATACCCGGAAAGGTGCTTCTGCCTAGACAGGAAATATGGGAGGAATCACTCACTAAAGCAGTAAGATGGCCCCAGGTGGGAGTGACCAGAGCAGGGACTTATATTTACATTCTAATTTCTATGCCCACCCACCTGACATTCCTGCCCTACTCTTTAGCAACTCCACATGCTTTAATACTCCCCTACTTTCCTGATTCTGAAATTCACTTGCTGATACTTGTCCTGTTGCTATCTATAGTCCCGAACATGAAACAGAGTTGAGGACCAGTTCTTAGTTATAAGCTTAGGCAGACAGACAGTTGATAAAGATGTATAAAATGGCAAATGATGGGCCGGCTGAGTGGCGCATTGGTTAAGAGCTGGCTTGGGACACCAGAGGGCCCCGGTTCAGATCCCACATATGAGGGCCAGTGACACTGCCCTCTACAGCTAAGATGCCGAACAACAGCTCAACCTGGAGCTGGGCTGCCGTGAGTTGCCGGTGACAGCGTAGGCTGCAGCCCCTGCTGCAGTGGNAATTAATAATCAGTGATAACAAAACACTGAGTAAAGAAGGGCAAAAAGTTTTAGGAAAACCAATTAATCTGGATATAACTCCAGATTTTTCAGAAAAAATGCCCTGTAAATGTGACTCTTGAAGAATGATTTTGCCACTTATTTCTGCATTAACTGTTAGTGATAGAAACTGTCCAAGAAAGAAGGCTGATTACATAAATGTATGTGAAAAGTTGCAGCTTGATATTAAACATGAACGAATTCATACTGGAGAGCAGTCTTGCAAATATAATAAAAATGCACAAGCTCTCAGTCATAAAGAAAAATCATCAGGAATTTCAAACTGTGGAGCAGCCTTTTAAATATAATGAACTTGGAAAAGTTTTACATGATGAGATTGTTGTCTGTTACAGCTCAGAGCTGTCTAACAGCAGAGGAACCCTGTCAGGATGATGAATTTAGGAAAAATTGTGATAAAGCAACTGTATTTAACCAAATGAGAGCTGGCACAAGAAAGAAACGCTTTGATATTAATGAATATGGGAGATCTTGTGACAAAACCACCATTGTGGAATACAGTAAAGTTCACAGGGCTATGACAAACTATGAATATAATGAAAATGAAAATAACTTCAACAGGAATTCACCCTGCACTCAACCTCAGTGAAATGTCACAAGACACGGTGCTTTTGAAAGCAGTAAATGTGAAGAAAACTTGAGCCAGAGCTCAGTCCATCTAGTACATTAGAAGATACAAACTGGAGATAAATTCTGTGCTTTTGATGGATGTACACATGCTTTCTTCCAGGAATTAGACCTTACAATACACCAGAGAACTCAGACAGAAGAGAAATTCCAAAGTCTGGTAAATATGGGGAATGCTTATATCAAAACTCACTTCTCAGTGTACATCAGGAAAGTGACACAGGAAAAAAGTCAATTGAAAGTAATGAATGCAGGAAATCCTTTTATGAGAAAGCATACATCATTCAGCATGAGAGGACCCACTCAGGGGAGAAAATGTATGAATGTGAGGAAAGCAGGAAATAATTTTGTTCAAATTCACACACTATTCATTACCCTGCTACTCATATGGGGGTCAATCTCTGTGAGTGTAATGAATGTAGGAAAACTATCTGTCAGACATCAAATCTCAGTGAACATCTGACAGTTCACACAAAGAAGAAACCTTATGATAACAATGGATGTGAGATGTCTTACAAGAAACCTGCCCTCTTAGAGCACCAGAGAATACACAGAAAGATGAAGCGCTATCAAAGTAATACATATGGAAAATCATTCTTCAAGATGGCACAGCTCAAAGNGTGGGTACTGCAGGATTGATATCCTGAGTTCTACCCCGGTCCTGTTTTACATTCTCCAGAATTGCTTTTTCCTCCTTGTA